ATCTCTAATCACCTGTTGAAAGTTTAGAATATCTCCAATCACCGGTTGAAAGTTCAGAATATCTCCAATCACCGGTACCCACAATTATTACTTATTTTGCATGTTTATCGATTTTTTTATGGTTTAAATAAATAACTATTTTTCACTAGATTAATTTATTAGGTGTTACCTCATTAATTATAATAAGATTTCGAAGAAAAGGTTTTTTGTTACTTTGCAATAATAACGAATGTTCATTGATTTTTTCCAGCGTTCTTAATTATAATAAAGTTTGTTTCCTTCACAAACTGGATGACAAAACCTAGAAGGGACGCGTGCAAAGCGGGAAGTAGTATGTATTAATGATGAAGATGTAGATATTGATCCCTAGAGACAGTGAGGTGAATAGATGAATGTTTAGACAGTAAAGTTCATATACTTACTTTACAAAATTAGGTACCTCAACCAATTGGAAACAATGAGCACACATTATTGAAACTTGAAAGCATTATAAGCTACTTTTAGAATTAATATACATTGGTTATAATTAAAACTCTGTATTTGTTATATCCCTAAAAGGATTGAGACAACACATTTGAAAAAATTGTCGTATCTGACCCCAGCACCCCATTTCAACTGGGAGAAGTGACTTAACTTTGGTGTTAACGACAGACTGGACTTATTTATTCACATTAACACCAACTGTTGGCGTGTGGCTGTTGGAACAGACCGCCACTCCTCTTGCAAGGGTCGTTAGGATTTTGTTGTCTATCCTTCTATCAGCATTCTAAAACACTTAAAACAGTTCAATTGGACTCAGACTGGGAGTCTGGATCCAATGCAGATTCTGGATGACACTTATAACTAGTGGAAACGGAGTGCTGTATATAGTAATATATTATCATGTTGTATTATCGGTATATAGTAGTGTATTATCATGTTGTATTATCGGTATATAGTAGTGTATTATCATGTTGTATTATCGGTATATAGTAGTGTATTATCATGTTGTATTATCGGTATATAGTAGTGTATTATCATGTTGTATTATCGGTATATAGTAGTGTATTATATTACCGGTATATAGTAGTATTTTATCATGTTGTAATATCGGTATATAGTAGTGTATTATCATGTAGAAAAAGCATAGTTCTTTCTCGTAGAATTTCATCAGTACAGGCAGTGAGTATTGTCCAGAAAGTCGGTATCAGAAAAAACGTTATCACCGGTCGTCAGAGAGAGCTCACACCATGAAACTATCCCAACCACTCTTCATTATTAGGACAACGCATTCAAGTTGCTGTCAAACCCTGATCAGTTTGCCCTAAATTTGAAGCTCAAGATATTACGAGAATCAGTGTCTCGTGTTTAGGGCTGTCATGAGACAGATGGGCATCGTCTAATCCAGTAGAACAATGCAGTGGCTAATAGATTTAATACTAGTTGTGTTTCATTGTACATTTAAAACATCGCGTGGACCGAAGAGGTGTGTACTTGTCGATTGGCCAGACCGCTATTCCAAAACAGCACGACCACTGGTCATCCATTTCTTCATCATATTATCCAAAGTGGATAAAAACCTCGAATGAAGAAGCTGCTAAATAAAGTTTCATCCATAAAACTTTCCTTTTGGAAACTGTATCATCTCATTGCTCGTGACGTCTTGAGTTTAACTGATTATCTGTTGACCTAGTGGGGACCTGGATGGACAGGAAATCTTGATTCCTTGTTAAAATTTAATAAATAAAAACAAATCGTCATCCACGAGAAAACCACAGTGTATTTCAATTAAAATTTGTTGGAATTAAAGAAATAAAACTCACTGCATGGACGCTAATCCTAGTTTATGATTAGTTTTGTTAATGATGTTATCTTGAGGGTCCACACACTGAATTACATACTTTCGAAACTGAATATCGTATATTAAGAAAACAAACACTTCCAAAATATAAAAAAACATCGATTTTAGGTTAGAAAGTGTAACAATAATTCAAAATAAAATTAATAATATTTGTTAACCCTTCACTGTTATAAGTTTTGAATTTTTAAACTCCAATCATGTACTTCATCCCCTTTATGTTCCTAGTCCTTCTGTATCTGTGTTAGTGTTTTCAATATGAACCATATCTTATCCGTACGTGGACCAAATAGCCGGGTCAGAGACCCCTAGAGACAAGTATAGTCATCCTTAATTTTTTAGCCAATGAATAGAGAGAAAACATCCAAACAGCAGAATTTCCCGCCACCAGGATTCACTGTGACTCTTATAACTCACCTGTAGTTGAACGTACGGAGCATGTTCTGTGGCATCGCGGCACGAACCTTGGACCTTTCATATGCAACTCGGATACTTCTTGTTACTGTTTTTGCGCTCCGATTTTATTCTTGGACATATCTTTCTTTCAAGTGTTGGGCCCACGTTACCCATTGGTTAGCGTGCTGGGCTGTACACTTGAGATACTATGGTTCGCAACCCGTTACCGCCAAACAAAAAGAAAATAAACGTGCTCCACGTTTTTGGGGTTGTGGGATTTTTTAAGAGAGGCGATCAACTCACTATTCGTTCTGATAATAGTAGCCCAAGAGTTGCCATTTGTTGACTAAACTGTCTAGTTTATCACCTTAAAATTATGGAAGGCTAGCCCACATAGCCCTCGAGTATGTTTGGGCGAAATTCAACAAACTGCACCATTTTGCTCTTCACAATGTACACCAGAATATGCTATATTTGATAAATTAATGACGTACAATATTAGTAGTAAATCTTGAGATTCTAATATTTTCTATTGCAGAAAATCAACGGAGAGCTTATTAGTAGTTGAAACTTTTATTAATAGAACACTACGAAGTATTCTATCGTTTAGGAAATTAACGTAGGAGAGAGCCACAGTCCTTAATTCAATAAGAGTTGGCGATTGTTAAAACTCATTAAGATCAAATTACTCATGATTAATTTCTAACTGTTTCTCTATCATGCATTGTTACTGTGCTTATTGTACATTTTCTATACCAATTAATGCTGCTG